TCACTAAATTATCATTCTACCTTCATCTAGGTATGTTCTTTGATCCTTACTGTTCTGGAATGAATAAGCACGGGTGGAATGTTTGTTAATTGATATTAAAATGTGAGACGAGGCATTTATGCATTATAAATGAGCTCAATACACAAGCGAAGTCAAAGCTTTCGTGACCAGACTTCGCTCCCAGATTTGACTCGGGATTTGTCAGTATCATATGCCTAGTAGCCTCTATTCTGACAAATCATGGGAAACTATTGTATTGTATTGTAATTTATTTCCATAAAGAAATTCAAGGGGTAGGTCGGGAGATTAGTTGTGATAATCAAGTTGAATTAAAATGCAGGGTAAACGGTGACACAAAGACGCTTGACTTATCCTCCAAAATGGTTTTAACTATTATCTATCAAAATTTTCTCAAAAATAGCGAATTAACCCGCCTTTCTGCTTTTGTAACTAAATTGCTTAATAAATCAACTTTTATGTAGGAAATGGCGCTCTTGTTTGAGCTTTCGCAGTACTCCGCTAAATTAGTAAGATCGAAAACTAAACGAAATATTACTGCTTATTGATTTGGTGGACGTGAAGGGAAGAACTTTTGAAGTCTTTTCAATCAGGTTCTTTAAATAAAATATGATCATAATAAACGTATGTACACTTGTCACTCTATTAATTAGGAAGCATATCGGGTTGACGAGTGTGGTTGTATCTGCTCTTTATTAATAATTTTTAGCATTAAAATTCGTCCGAAAGGAAATCACCTTTTGGGTCTTGATCAATCCAGAATGCTATTCCTTTCATTCAGCTACTCTCTCCAAGAAAACTGCTTATAGATCACATGCTTGGCTGATCAGTGCACTCGGTGAAGTCACATATCATAGCCTTCATATATGCTATAAAACTATATAGCGTCACATTGACAACTTACTCAGATGGGATTAGCATCTGAATGCTCCGAAATTTTACAGCATATTGTATAACTTGCCATTTTTGTCCAAATTCTTAATCTACCTTCTTTCTTCGATACTTAGGAAATGGCTCACGAATGTTCAATGTGTCAGCGTCGTTTCCGTTTGGAGACAGATCTCCGACGCCATATGAAAGAGACGCACAGCGGGGCTGTCAAGTGTGAAATCTGTAACAAGATATGCAACAACCTCCGTTGTTATTCGCAGCATCGCCAAAAGCATTTCCGCACTCGTATCTATCAATGCACGGATTGTCAAGCCACATTTAAGAGCAAACTTGCCATGAAACGACATATCAGAGTACAGCATCTACAGTTGGGTCCAGAGCGGTTCGAATGCCAGATATGTGGCAAGGTGAGTAATGTCTATTTATATAGGCACTTCGGGGAATTATTTTTTATAATATCACTCGTCTTTCACATAATAGCAGTGCTTCATAAGACTTTCAAAAATATGTAGGATTGACTATTTCCTTGTCAATTTTCGATTTTCTTCAACTCTTATACGTACCCTTCTATGTGCTTATAAGTGCAATTATTTCATCAAGATATGCATTTGTGTCTAAAACACATCTTTCCTATACAAGTTGGCCAATCTCTCCATATGGCATAACATATTTATGCCACATCGCTTACCTTATTTCTCTTCAATGGCAATTTTTAATTTTTCGTTTTACATTTTAACATTTAGATTGTCACTCAGATTGCTATGCATATGCTCATCCATAAGGACGCTCGTTTTGAATGCGAATACTGTGGTAAGCGATTTACAAAGTCTGCCTACTACAATGAGCATGTCCGTATCCACCGAGGCGAACGACCCTTTGAATGCCATATCTGTGGGAAACGATTTAATAAGAAGTCGAACCTGAATGTTCATGTCAGATTTCACGAGAAACATCGTGATGAGGAAGGCAACGTGAGTAAAACAACATGTTACTTTTTAATTTATTTTGGAGGCATTTATCACAATCCTCAGTCAACATTTATATTAACTCAAGCCAAGCTCATCCTATAACGTTATTAAGCTTATACTTGTCCCGGATTCTGTCAATTTGCTTCCACTCTAAATGATCCAAATTTACCTTGCTTCTCAAGGCCATTTGTCGCAAACTCTTATTTCTCCCTTAATACCAAAACAGCGTTATGTGCCTTAATCATTAGGGCTATTAAGACATGAATTGTCAACCATTCATTTTTCTTAACTTTCTGTTGGCAATGACCTCTAATAGTATCTGGAGCTAAAGCCTCGTGGAAGAAC